TGTACATACCTAACCAACAACAAGCACCAATCTCCGACAACGATAGAAATTTGAAGTCACTTATTTCACGTATCCAGACAGCGTCAATTCAACTACAGGCGGCAAGGATGAGGATGCAAAAGGCAGGATAGGCAAAGCGAGACAGGACTTCATTATTGTGAATTCAGCGTGAGAATCAGCTGTAGCCAGCATGTAGAAGGAGATGCAGGTTTCCAAAACTAATGTCAATTCGGTCAGCGGTTCTATATACCTTAGAGACTTGGTGCGTCATGTAAAGCATTTCCAGCAAGCTTCAGGCCTCTAGTCACACTTGTCTTCACTCCGTGCTGAAAATCAGATGGTCAGGTGGAAAGAATTAGCAAAGAGGAACTCTGGAAAAGAACCAACCAAAAGTCTGTTACCCAGCTAATATTCATAAGGAAATGAAAATGGATCGGACATACGCTGACGAGACCCTTGAGTGGAGTCCGAATGGGTGACCCATACTTCCGTGCATTATTGGCAAGGGACATCCTTATTGAAATCATTCTTCGTTCATGATGTCTCCTTTGTCCATTAACTCAAGTATTACGTTCACACATATAGCACATTTTTGGAGGCAAGGAAATGTGCATAAATTTTACCCTGAAAATGAAGATTAATTGACGGAAATATTTATTCTGAATACGGATTCCTTGTAACAATGTAGTTTGATGCAAGTGATGTCATCATATGTATTATGATTGCCGTCGAAATAAACATTTCATTGAACAAAGAGTATATTGGGACAAACAATTCAGCGAAGAGACTGTCTTCAGCGGATCCGTCTAATTAGTTGTACAGTCGCAAATATATATAATTATTTTTGTATGTCAATAGGAGCCGCCGGAAAATAGTGTTTCCGTACACTTTACATTACGGTGGCCTTAGCAATTCGAATGAGAAACACTGTTTTGTGCACACAAGAAGACTCTCTACCCTGCACTTCTACACTGGACATACTTCCAAACTCATTTGTCATAATTATTTTGTTATGAATAGTCTTATTTGCATTTTTAGTATGACATTTACGAATGTTATTTTCTTCAATAACCTTTTGTCCAGTCTATACCCCTGATGCATAACAATTTTGACATTTGCCTCTTTTCTGTTTGATTAACACCCAATTTTTCTGACATTTTTTCATATTATGGAACCTGTTGTCTGAACTTACTAGTCCTCCCCCTTTTTAGTTACAATTCGCCCAGTCTTCACTGTTTTGAATAATTTTTATTGTGTACACAATAATGCAAATAGATTTATCTTAATTTTATGACGTATTTGTCAGTCTGAATGTACACAGAAAAATAATTATATAAACATTTGTAACTGTAAGGCTGAATGAATTCGTATAAAGGAGTCTCTTCGACGAGGCTGTGAAGTTACATCGACTGAGATGGTTAGGACATGTGTTACGCATGCCTGGCCATCGCCTTCCTCGACCGACCTGCAAAGTTAGGTGACTTAGGATGAGGTTGGAAAAGAGTTAACTAATGGTGGTCAAACCAAACATGGCTTCATCCGTCAATGAAATCCACAACAGTTAGTTTAAGCCACGTAGGAAGATGCAGACTTCCTGGTTGGGGTTCTCGGGACGGTAAACACCAGTGACTGGAAACAATTGGTGATATGGCTCAAAATCGTTCGCAATGGCTGGAGTAGGTGCATCCACTCCTTGTGACTTATAATACCCAATAAAACTATATTGTTATTCGATATTACTATTCTTTTTGCCTCATATCTCTGTTTACTGTCTCTATTTTGCGTTTCTTTTTACTTTCTTCCCTTGCTTTGTGTGCTACATGAAGTGTGACAACTTGAACTGTTGCACATCGGTGCAAAGTTCTATGTTGAAACCAGTCAGTCAGTCTCTTCGGTGAACTGTTTGTTCTTATTTGCGTATACTGACGGGTCCTTTTTCGCGTTTTATAAGATGATTATAACCACAATATATTTATACAAGTGTGTGTTTTCATACTCTAGGTAGTCAGCGAGTTTAGATATGCAAAGAGACTGTATATGGTGCTTACAGGTGGGAAGTAGTCATTCTCTTAGTCAGTTAATTGTGAATCTACGTTAAAAATAAGACCCTTATACTAAATTCGGTGATGATAATAACAACAGCAGTACACCTGTTCAGGCATCATACATTACAGTCAAAGGATATCATTTTAACTGTCTTTAGGAGATGCATAATTAGTTTGCTGCATAGTTACTGCTTCCCTGGTCGTCAAAAACCAAAGGCATAGGTACTTATGGCACTGTGATGACAACTTCAATATCCACTGAGTGTGACAATGTTGAGCTTTTGATTGGCTTTATTGCTCCTTAATATAACCAGCGGGACAATCAATGTCTCTCAGATTTAGTGGGATCAAAAATCTTTTGAATACTAAATAAAAACGCTAACAGGCATACATTTTCTTCTCAGAAAGCATTGGTTACATGTCATTGAAATATTGGGGAAATAAAAGGTTGATATCTGTAAGTTCAATTGTGTCAGTATAAATTAAATTGCTATTCAGAGAATTGGTATACCCATAACAGCTAAGTGAAGGCTTAATATAACCGTCAAGTTCATCATACTGCTTAATTTATCTACCAAGCAGGTGGTATAATCCTAGTGCTTAAGGCAAGAAAACAACCCTCCATTCATCGAAGTGAATATAAGCTCAAAAAAAGTACAACAGGTACATTTATGCTTTATATGAAGAGATGCTGTTATTTTTTGATGACTTTGTTAACACCTTGAAAACCAAAACCAAGCAAACTGGAAAACTTGGCTACACGAATTTTAAGTGAATTCGAAGAAACAAACTTCGAAATTTTAGAGATCAGCATATTCGATCAAATCCGCCATTTCCAGAACTCGAGGATTTTGAATTGACACATCTGTATGAGTTCATTCAAAACAAATAAACACCTGATTAGGTCAGCCTCGAGCCAGCGAAATGACTATCCGGTGTTTAGATAACTTCTATCTGGCTAACAAGCACTACTGCTTGATGTGAATACTATACAACTTTTTATTCCAGTCAGTGAGTAGAATACAACATCATGCACTTATTCAGTTCATGATTTCAAATGCTATTGGTTAAAACCAGAAAATCCCTTATTTTAAGAGGGACATATATTGAAAAATGACTGGTTTACTATACCTGTTTGCATTTAGATTTTATAAGGAGATAACCAGTATGATCTACTGAAGAAAATAATTGAGTAACTTGTTCAGAATATTCCTCGGCTATTAAGAAACCTGTGGAGTAACCTAACATTCTATGGTTTAAAGCTGAATGTGGATCATTTTAGACCTTCCCTCGAGAAGGTTAAAGCTATTTGTACTTTGACAACACTTTTCCAGGAGGACTATTTCGCTTACGCTCCTGTATTTGGGCGTTCGAAGTGAATAAAGGAGTAAGAGAAGGCTGCCTGTCTACTATCACCTTTGATATTCTGAAATTGGGTGGACTGGATTATGCGTCAGACTGTGCTTAGGAGTGAGGAGACAAAAATACTCTGGACGACCGATAAGAAGACTCTAGAAGATCTGGATTTCTCGGATGATATATGGCTAATGTCACACAAACTCGAAGACTTACGGGCGAAAAGAAACTAACTGTCTGAAGAAGCAGGCTGGCAGCGAAAACAGGACTCCAGGTGAACATAGACACGATGGAGGTGATGAAGATCAACATCAACCACCATCACCAATAGCAACAGCAATAACAACCAATACCGATCACCACCAATGGGAGAAACTCTACAGAGATTACTCCTTTCACTTATCGTTTCACATACAGGTGGAACGGATGAAGATGTCAAGGTCAGAATCTGAAAGGCAAGATACGCTTTTATCAACCTGAAATCAGTTTGGAAATCTCCTGCACTACACTCAGCCAGCGTAATGAACAAGATTCGGATTTTTAACATAAACATGAAGTCAGTCAGTTCTTCTATATGGATCAGAAACTGGTACTGCTTGTCAAGAAAAGGATTTCCAACAAGCTGCTACTTCGCTGGCTCATTACTGAAGATTAGATGGCCGGCTAGCCGACCAGAAAGAATTAGCAACAAGAAACTCTGGTTGGGAACAAACTAACCAGGGGAAGACTGCAGACGGATGGATTAAACATACAGTGAGGAGGTCATCGAATGAAATCGTGCGCAATGCAGGCCATCGCTAGAGTGAAATCCAATGGGAAGCGATGAGTGGGTCATCAGTGTGAGGGTGACATAGGCGAGGTCGTTTGGGGAGGAAGAGATGAGAGACTATGTACCTAGCTGAAAAGGGTAGCGCCAAATAAAATGAAGTGGAGATGTTTTGTTGAAGCCCTATGTTCCACTCGGAACCGAAGGGAATAATAATAATTTCGTTTACGTAAGATTTCTGTGGAAGAAGATATAACATAATACAATTAAGTCTATGCACAACACTTGACTCAGTGAAGTGAAAATCGACAGCTAACACAGAAAGGTTTGGTGGACATATTTTCTCCGTGTTGTAATCACCTCACAAATCTAGAAGTTCGCATTTACGACTAAAAATGTCATTCGATAGTTGGACAGTTCTGCAAATCTAAGTCAGTTAAGCCAGACTATAAGAAATCACAACATCAGTATGTTTTAAAATAGAACAATTTTGTGTTCTGCTCATGAATATAAGAGGTTGCATATGGAAAGTTTCTTTTAATTCTTTTGCATCCTGAGTGGAAAGCAGGGCTTCAAGTTTAGGCCGTAAAGTCTCAGAACCATGAGTGCTTATCTCTTTTTTTGGGGGGCGGTGATGTTGGCCTCATGCTAAATCTACCTCCTTCACCGAACTTACTACTGGCTAAACGAGGTTAAGGTGTACATCGGCGGCCGATGATCGACCACGTGCGCGGTTGACGAGCATACAACCCCTATTTAACCATCAGTACTAAAATGATTTTCAATCCTCAATTACGACTTTATGCTTACCGTAATTGAAAAAAAATCTCACACAACATTTCAAATATATATTAAGTATGTCATTGAACAGAGAGAACATAGAAAGCACAAGCACTTTGTATACAAGAGCTGTTTACACTAATTAATGTGCATTTAATAATTGAATGTTTAAGTGCATTTTATTGATAATATCCACAAGAAGAATGAGAATTGATGTTTACACAGTAATATGAATGTAATATTAGTAGTATAGAGACAAACTATAAGAGGATACAATGCATTAGGTTGAATTCGGTAAATATTTCCTCACTGAATAACACACAGAATTGTAAATATCCAAATCATACTAGATAATATGATGAAATTATTTACATTCAGCATCAGTTGAGAGTTTTCCGGTATAGTAGTCGAAACTACTTTTAACACTGATGGTGTGGTTTGTTGTGGAATAACAAGAGGTTGACTATCACTGGTTTGATGTTCTAGAATATTCGGCATTTCTTTGAATTCTCTTCTGTTGTTGCATAGGTTTGTAGTGCAACAAAATGCTCCGTGAAAATTTTCAGGCGTACATGATGCAACACACCCTCGCACAATTTGTGTGACAGTAGCTTTTATCTGAAATATTAATGAAGTAAGAAGTATAGAAGTATTATTAGACTCGATAACTCAAAATACTTCGTACAGTGTAACATAATTACTGAAAGTCAGTGATGTTCAAGGCCTAAATCTAACTTGAAATACTTTTCTAAATGCATTATATGGAAATAAAATAAGCCAATAACGGTTTAATTTAAATTTTACAATGATAAACTATAGAGATTTTTCAACATTTTTTGATAGTACAGTTAGTCTATGTCTCGAATAGGTTATCCGAATACATATGAAGGATTGTAATAAAGGTTTTTTGTATTTACCAATGAATGGAAAACAAAACGATATTACTGTTTTTACTGACACTTAGCTATTTAATGCTGCTAGTAGCGTTATCAAAGTAGCAATATTAAACCAGAATTTACAAAATCTCAGCTCATATACAATAACTTAATCATCGCTCCTCAGCATGGGGGCATTTTTGCGTTCTCCAAAATTGGCCAATTGGTAAAGATAACAAAACTAGGTGTAAATTATCGTTGGATTCGATAAGTGTGTTAAATTATAAAAGCAGCGTGTGTTTACATAATAAAATTGCTTATCACATTCGTTTTGATTCTGTCATTTCATCAGGTGGTTGTGCGGTGTTGTTACCAGCTCAAATTCTGCCTTAGACAATTTGGATTCCAGTTGATATGAAGTGCTTCTGATGATATTAGACGTTATTTGTGATTTCTGAAATGCTTTTTCTGGATGGTGATTTCAATATTGTCAAAATCAATTTTGTGAACTGATTCTATAGCGTAGCGTGTAGACAACCTATGGTTGATGATTTTTCATGCTTTTCTAGTTCAACTGGATTTATTTCTCGGTGTTCATTTCTTCTGATTTTGATTTTGCTCTGGTGAGGTTTGTTTGATGTATATCTCATCGCATTTCAAGCATTTCATTTTATAGACACAATTAGATAGAGAATCTTCAGGGATTTGGTCTTTTATATGGACAAGGTTGCTTTGAAGTGTGTTTGATGTTTTGAATTAAATTCTAATGTCGAGCTGATTGAGTACTCTTCTGATATCATCTGACGTTTTTGATCCATAGGGAATGACAACTATTGAGGTCCATGTTTTCGGAATACTTTTGCTACCATACTCAATGTCAGTGTTGATTTTGTTGATGAAGTTCTTTGGGTAGTTGTTTTGTTTGAGAGTTTCAGTAATGTTTGAAATTTCTTCTTTTTCATTCTCATCCGTTATGAAAGAGTGTGGTCGTCTAAGAAGACTTGAAAAAAACTGATACCTTTGCGCTGATGGTGTGTGATGATTCGAAGTCTAAATATTTGTTGGAGTGGGTTTTCTTCCTGAATATACATATATTAAAATGTCCATTTTCCCTCCTCTTAACTAGGCAGTCTAGAAATGGTAGTTCACCGACGTCTGATTCTGCTTCCGAAGTAAATTAGATTCTGGGAGATAGATTGCTTAGTTTCTCCAAGAATGAACTGTGTAGATCTCGTTTTAACACTACAAAAGTATCATCTATATATCTTAAAATCTTTTCAAGCATACTCACGCCTAAAATATGATTATCTTCGAATCTATTCATGAAAAGATCAGCGACTATCAGGAAAACTGGTGTACCCATAGCAACACCATTTGTAAATTCTGGTTTGATAATACTTTGATAAAGCTATTAGCATTAAATAGCGAAAGGTTGGTAATTACAATATTTTTTTGTTTTTCATTCATTGGGAAATACAAAAAAACCTTTACTACAATGAATATCATATAAATAATACCCAATTTTTTTCAAACTGTTAAAAGTGAACTTGGTTTGGACATATATAATATGAAGGATTGGTTGAAAGTGAAGTCGTAGTGAACATCGTTCTGAGTTAACGAATCTATCCAAAATATTTACCCTGCATCTGTAAAAGTATTATTCATCCACAGATGATTTGCAATATCCCCTCCTCGTATGGTTTTCTATTACAATGTCATTAATTTTCACAATAAAACCAATAAATCTACATATATGTACCGCATATTGTACATTCGCTTTTGTTCATAACTGAGTAACCAGTCTTCAGCTGAACTTATACACTGGAAGTCCGGCTTAATATCACACTTCATAAACATTAAAACTGATCTAGAATTATCAAGTATTGGATTTTGTAGAGATTTAGTTTGACTGGTTGGAGGATTTCATCATGAGTTGACATCATTTAGAGAACCACTAAAAAACCTGGGAGTACTGGACACCTGTTTCATCCTAGTTTGGGACTCTTCATCAGTATTCACACAACCGGGTTTCTAACCCAAGACCATTGGTTTCAAGGGGAGCTCGTGTTATGTCATGAATTGGCAGAAGTTAGAATTCATGCACTGATCGCTGGATCGTGTCCCAATGGCTGAATCGCCTATGAGCTAGCTCGCCTTGTAACTAGGGGGTACTCGGTTCGTACCCTGGCGGTGTGTGCGTACTGATGATGAGTCTCAAAATAGGACGAAACAGCTGGCTGCCCAGTACTTCCTGCAGGTTTTCCAATGGTTCTCTAACGGACGTCAGTTCATGATGAAATCCTCCAACCAATCAGACTGAATCCCTACAAAACCAATACTTGAAAATTCACCTGATGCTCACTAGTGACTGACCCTATTCAGGCAGCTAACCTGGGGTTCAGGTGGGAAGGCGTGACCAGTAGGGTGCAGTAGGTTGAAGGTGAGGCAGTAACTCATCGAAGAAGACATCGCAAAGTAGTCGCGCTATGTCATGAATTGGCAGAAGTTATTTTGCAGTGAGGAACTTATACGTCTAAAATTATGTAATGAGTACTAATAACCATTAAACTGACAGGAGTCCAAAAGCTTTCTTCAACGCCTAAGCTATTTTAGTGTAACCACGATATTATTCATTATATCATTGAATCATAAGCAAATATATCTTTTAAGAAATAGAAAATGGACAAGGACAAACTCCTCATATGTATTAATACCATTTGATATTTCTCATAGTCATAGTAACCAATATCAAAGAGGAAGATGAAGATGTTTCCCATTGGGCTTAAACACTAAGCTTTCTACCCAATGAATTTCCGGTTCGAATCTCTTTCATCCTACTTCAGTGACCAGCTGTCACAAAATACGTATGACTGATGGCTTGTTACACTGAAGAATCTGTACCGAATAACTGATTTCAAGCTGGCTATCAGTACTAAGAAACTAGTGGTGCAGTGTATGTTTATCACAGAAAACATAATCATTCAACTAGGATTCTTTCCAAAATCCTTTTGAGAACTTGCATTTCTTTAGAGGGACCATTCTGTCTGCGGAATCTAACAGTTTGGGTACGCTAAAGTGACAGCCTTAACACGACTTATATAGAGTGTCACACTGAATAAAAACTACTTGGGAACTATACAAAACATTTATCTTTAAATAAATCTGCGAATAGTTAAAAGCATTTATAACAACTTACTGTACATCCGCCACATCCATCCACTATGCTTGTGTTTGCATTGACAGTGAAGCAGTTAGTGCAATTGTAGCATTTTATGCGCCCAACTAATAGGTCAGAAAAAAAAATTATTGTTATTTCAATGTGAAACAGATAATAAAATATCTTAACTTCAACAAATAAATAACACTTCAGAAACTAAGACTATTATATGGTTGGAGGCAATCGGTAGGAAACCTTGGATATAGGTTTCGTACTAGTTGGCACTCACCAGTCAGCAAGGCGTGTCTGAAATCTTCAAGGAACTCTCATACCTTCTGAGATTCGAACACGCGTCATCCAGTGATGCAGTTGGCGACGTTACCTCTGAGCTATTCGTGCTCGTGACTGACCTTCTTTAGGACTGTAGTGGATATTTTCGATTGTACACTAGTCAGTAACTAGTGTAATGTGTCTAGTCCTATATTTGATGCAGACTGAATTCTATCAGCCACGTATGCAATGTGGACACTATTCTAGGTGGCTCGCAGTCACGATGCACTGTGAATTGTTCGTATAAGATAGTAGTCACATTGCAAACGTGACTGATAGAAGTCAGTCTGCACGAAAGATAGGACTAGACATACACATTACACTAGTTATCGACTAGTGTCCAATCAAAACTAAGACTGTACTATATATTAAGAGAAAGCTTCAGTTGGTTGAAAATCATACTTCCTCAAAATCCATCACAAGTTTTAATTGATTAAGAAATACAAAAGATTTTCAACGTCACTGGTCAGTGTTTGAACAACGATGTCAGCCGATATACGCACTCCCTTCAGTTTGCCTATAGTTAATGAGTCAACTTATCATTTTGAAAGCTTATCATGAAGTCATTTGATGATTGAATGAAAGCAAAATGTGTCATTTTACCTTAAATGACGAACAGATGCCGAAAACACAATGATTAACCTTTCAAAATAGTTTAGAAACACAGTTTCGCTAACTGATAACGTCAGTGAATTCCACCTGTCATACGTAACTCACTTCTGTAAAACATAATGAACTTTGAAATACTCTAGCATTTGACATCGACGTAGAGCTTTTAAGCTCGAGTAGCAAATCAAAACTTCAACAATAGCCTCGCATTTTACAAATCATTAATTCATCTTAGTTTCCGGTCAAAATATTTCGTAATATTTCTCATTTAGTTGAGTTGATAGCATATTAAGTTTAGTAATCCCCCATACAGTTTCCTTATTTAGTGTGAACACTACTAAAATCAAATTAAAAATGACAGTAACCATGGGTATTATTTGTAAGCAGCTCAAACGGCCTACTTCAATCCCTTGGGTACCTGAATTTCCACCCAATACAGTGCATAGGATTTTCTCTGCTTGTCTTTATTCTAATCAGTGCACTCAGCTCCACACGAGCAAGTGAACTTTTATATGAATATTGAAGTGGCTCAATGTGACAGCTTGTCTTTCACGTTTTGGGTGAGTAGTTTCTTGCATGAGAATGTTATTCGTAGGTTGGCGTCGAAGTATGTTTTACTGAGAGACTTCAAAAGCCGTCTACGGAGAATTTCTGATTTGGTATCATTTTTAAATTCGAGATTCAATATCAGCATATTTTTGGGGGCGACTTGGACCTTTCAGGTGTTTTCCTTGGTTTCAGATTTGTGTCTATGAATCTGGGTGGGAATCCGTTTTCTACCAAGGGCATTTGGAGATTTTGTAATTCTTCATCGATTGACTCTTTAGTGCAAATCCTCCGGATCCTCGAGGAGATAGAGTATATGAGGTTTCTCTTTCTGCTTATAGGCACACAGCTGTGAAAGTTAATATACTGTCCGTTCCATCTGGGCTTTGCGTAGATGGATAGAAAGAAGACTTCCGAAGAAGTCCAATCCTTCCCGAAAAAATACTTCTGTTTAGTCTAGAATCCAAAGGTAACATTGAAGCAGAAATCCTTCGTAAACGCCTCTGCAAATCTTTGAGGAAAACATACTTCATCACAAGCCTACGACTGACGTTTTCCTTCAAGAAACTGTTCAGCCAGAACGCGAAAGATAAGCTATCGCAATGGGCCACTTCAACATGCATATACCAGTTTACTCCCTCATACGGAGCTGAGTACATTGGCATTACCATACACCAACTTAAAAAATGCGCTCGTGAACACTATCCAGCCTGACTAGTAAAAGGAGAACAAAAACGTGTACATAGTTCATTGACAGAAAATCTGGTCAATTGAGGACACTCAGCGCCATTCGAAAAATCTTTCAAAAGAAAATGCAAGATTCGAACAAACCTATCAAAGTGAGTAAAATTAAGACATCCGACCGTGGCTGAGGCACTAGTCATCCAAAAGCTCAAACCCACGCTATGTATCCAAAAGAAATACGTTCAACCCTTGTCTCTGTCATGGCTGTCACGAACAGGTAATTCTTTCAATAGTGACTATCCCATTGCCTTTCTTATCCAAACTTCCTGATTATTCATGTTACTTTTAAGTTTTTCTCAATCCCTATTTACACTACCATATAATCATAACCGAATTTCCTGTCCATTTTTTTCATTTTATTTATTCGTTACATTAGTTATGACCCTACCAGATTTTTTATCCAGACATCCTGTATATTTTGTTATTTCTACATTTCTAACCCCTAATTGCACAATATGTAAATCTTCTCAGCAATTATGAAACTAATTTGTTTGAGTTTTATCTGTTCCCCTGTTTATTATGGTATTTTAATTCCTAATTGTAATTTTATTAATTTGACCCTTAACCGGAAATCATTCTGGAACATCCCCACCCATTTATTATAAATAGAAATTTAAAAAAAATTATTTAACAAAACCAATACCAAAACTTAGATTGAAACTTTAATTTGCAAAAATTATTCACATTCTTATTATTCTGTCTTCATTTCCTGCTTTCTGTATTGTTTTACTAAAATCTCTCATTTTTCCCCTTTGTAGCTTAATTCGTCACTCTCCTTTTCAAAAATTCTTCCAGAAGACGCTCCTGATATACTACTTACACATTTTTGCCATTAGCACATGCTACACTGTCATGCGTAATCGATGCTCAGTCCATTCATCCAGCTCCTAGTAGTGTTACTATCTGCAGCTAATGGACAGAGGACTACTATTCTGCATTGTCTTTGAGCATCTATAAAATTCATAAAACTGTGAACTTTATCAAATAATCTTTTTTTCAGGGGCGGATATTAGCTATAAGTATAAAACTTGGGCACTGTGGTAGAGCATAACTCCATTATGGATAAGATTTCATTTCGATAAATCACACAGTGTTGTACAGTAATATTAACAAATGACGTTTCGAGCACAATTTACTGCCACTCATAATCATATCAAGTTACTCACACAACTGTTTGCCTTCATTTATATACATGAGTGGAATTGACTAGACATCTGAATAAAAATCAATATAGGATAATTTACACTCAGAAATAGTAATGTGAGTGTTATTGATCAATCACAATCACATGGGAAATAAAACGACTGTTTTTATAGTCATAGTAAGTAACTTGTTAGGATGTTGTGATGTGCTTAATTGAAATAGAATTTTGAGATTATTTATTATCCTCTTCTAATTTGACTGGCGGTAATAATATTTTCCATATTTCTGGTATTTGCATTGAGTCATTTATTTTGCATGTGTTGGGTGTAGACTCAATGAACCAGGCAGGATTCAGTAATCAACCTCTCTCTCCACCTACATAGATTACTTCTGAGAATTTTAACCTTCTCCCACTCTAGTGTGTGTTAATACATGCATTGAAATTGCTGAGGTTTTTTCTAAATTACTTTTGACTCAATTAGACAAAATAATACAATTTACAAAATACGCTGCAATGACTGTGAGGTCAACTACATAGGTCAGGCTAGTAGGTCGGGGGTAGTCAGATTGTCAGAACATAAGAATTTAGCTAAGGGAATAATGGTTGACCCCGAGAAGATAAGTAATTTAGAAAAAAGCTCAGCAATTGCACTGCATGCATTAACACAAAACCACACAGTAGAGTGGAAGAGGGTTAAGATTCTCAGAAGTAATCTAGGTAGGTGGAGAGAGAGGTTGATTACTGAATCCTGCCTGGTTCATTGAGTCTACACCCAACACATGCAAAAGAAATGACTCAATGCAAATACCAGAAATATGGAAAATATTATTACCGCCAGTCAAATTAGAAGAGGATAATAAATAATCTCAAAATTCTATTTCAATTAAGCACATCACAACATCCTAACAAGTTACTTACTATGACTATAAAAACACTCGTCTTATTTCTCATCTGATTGTATTTGATTGATAACACTCATATTATTATCTCTGAATGTACATTATCTTATATTGATTTTTATTCAAATATCTAGTCAATTCCATACATATATATAAATGAAGGAAAAAGTTGTGTGAGTAACTTAACATGATTATGAGCAATAATTTGTGCTCGAAACGTCATCAGTAAATATTACTGTACAACACTGTGTGATTTATCAAAATAAAATCTTATCCATAATGGATTGGTGTATAGTTTCACTGGTTAGACTTTCAAAAATTGATTGTCAGTCAAAAAACGTCATAGGGTTAAAATAATAACACTAAGTTCGTATAAAACGAAGCTATTAAGTGTGTAGCATTTACTGTACATTGCTGAGAGGCACTGTAAGAATAAAAGCCATCAGCATCTAGACAAGCGTAAAATAGTATTGTATAAGTCTTATGTTTGATGACATCTCGCCTATATTGCCAACATTCTCACGGGATGTAACGTGATTCCCGCTGGAAATCCATCATCTAATATACGTCATCGCATTCATTCTAAGCGTAACGACAGTGCTAAAATACCCTATTCAATATTGAATAATTACAGTCTCTTATAAATTTAGTGACAAATGGAATATGATGCCCTCTTCATACATCTATTCGCTATCTGATATACTTGTTGTTGAAATTCGCCAACGGTATGCGGGCTGAAGAAACCACATGAAATTTGAGCATATCATATTTTTAAAAAAAACAATAAATCATGCAAGATCACTTACCCTTCTCATTCATAGACTGTGCTGCATAGAATCCGATAATTAAAATCGCTATTGTGTTAACTATTTGAAATGTCCTCTTGATGAACATCATTTTGAATATTTCACACTCTGATGTTCACTTGCTTGTGTGGTTGATTAAGTAAGTGTCAACGATTAAGATAATATATGTTCTTTGTGACATACATATCTTCAGGGATAGATGTAGGAGTTTGTAGACGAATGGATAAAAGTACAGCTTAATCTAACCAATCATGTTATAGGGAAGAAAATCTATCTAGTCTATTCCCATTTTTTTCTCCTTATTCGAATGAAGGTCGTTATTCTTAAGAAAAGGACATAGAATAAATCTGGTCTAGAAATAAGACAAATGAAGGGCAGTGGACTTGACTAAGCCTACTAGCATCACTGATTGGTTAAATCAAGGTTTCAGAAGTTTGTTTATCAATAAGGCGAAAAGTTAGTCATACTGAAACTAAAATAAGTACATTCCTAAAATATTAAAGTATACATAAATTGAGACAAGTGGAACAGTCATCAGTGAAATACTAGTAATTTGATTGGACACTGCGCAGTCACTAATGTTATATGTCTAGTCCTTCGTTTGGTGCAGACTGAATTCTATCAGTCACGTTTGTTATGTAGCCACCATTCTAAGTGTCTCACCATCCCTGTGCCCTCTGAATAGTTGTTACATGATTTCTGTATTGAAGCCTTCAATAACAAACAGAATTCAGTCTGCACCGAAGCCAAGGACTGCAGTCATGACATGAGTTGCTACCTGGTGTCTAATCAAAGTATCCATTACAGTCCTACAGAAAGTCAGTCACGAGGCCAGATAGCTCAGTAATAACATCTCTGACCGCAGCAGTGGGTGGTCCGGATGACGAGTGCCAACATGTACGAAACTTATGTCCAAGGCTCCCTACCAGCTGCCTCCAACTACCCAATAACAACAATTTAGAAACACTATTGAGTTATTCATTATAATAAAAGTTTTTGTATTTCCCAACGAATGAAAAACAAAAAGGATATTACTTTTTGGTTATACGATTTCATCATGAGCTGACACTGGTTAGAGAACCATTGGAAAACCTGCAGGGAGTACTGGACAGTCAGCTGTTTCGTCCTAGTTTGGGACTATTCATCAGTACGCACCCACCGGGGTTCAAACCCAGGACCTCCTGGTTACAAGGCCAGCTCGTAGACCATTGAGCCCCTGGGACCCGATTTATTGTTCCTTGAATTCAAACCTCTGCTAATTCACGGCATTGCGCAACCGCTAGCCAATGTCTTCGGCGTGGATTTGTCCTCACACCCAACCTGTTGCACCCTACTGGTCACGACTACCCTCTAGAACCCCAGGTAACTACCTACCTGATTGTTTTTATTGACGTTTCGCTATTTAATGCTGCTAATAGCTTTATGAAAGTATTATTAAACCAGAGTTTACAAAATCTCAGCTTATATATAACAACTTAATCATCGTTCATCAGTATGGCGTCATTTTGCGTTGTCGAATTGGCCAATTGGTTTAGATAACAAAATCAGGTGAGGATTATCGTTGGATTTGATAAGTGTGTAAAATTATAAAAGTAGCGTGTGTTTATATAATGGAATTGCTTATCACATTCGTGTTGATTTTGTCATTTCATACGGTGGGGGCAGGGGTGTTGTAACCAGGTCAAATTCTATTTGAGTCCATCATTCCTATTCAGACAATTTGGATTCAGCTTGATATGAAGTCCTTCTGATGATATCAGACGTTCTTTGTGATTTCTGAAATGCTTTTCCTGGATTATTTCAATATTGTTAAAATCAATTTTGTGGCCTGATTCTATATCGTAGCGTGTAGATGACCTATGGCTGATGATTTTTCAAGCTTTTCTAGTTCAACTGGATTTGTCGTTGGTTGAACATGGATGCTTTACGGTGTTCATTTCTTCTGATTGTGATTTCTCTCTGGTGAGGTTAGTCCGATGTATATTGCATCGCATTCCAAGCATTTTATCTTATAGACACAATAAGATAGAGAATCTTTAGGGATTTGGTCTTTTGTATGGACAAGGTTGTTTTGTAGTGTGTCTGATGTTTTGAGGAAAACTCTGATGTCATCCACTGGGAAATACAAGAAAAGCTTTGTTATAATGAATATCATATACCAATGTCCAAATTTCTCCAAAGTCTTTAAAGTGAACTTGGTTTTGACATATATAACTATTGAGTTAAGCTTCTGAAGAAGGAGAAATAAAAGGACATGTAAAGTGAGACCATTTGTCTAAAGTGTTGTCACTTCAGGAGAGGTTGAGACAATATTGATGACTGATGTATAATTGAATTCACCGATTAAAATAAATTTGCTAAGCAACCGTAACAATATTTTAAACAATCTTTAATGTAAAAAGTGCATTGGAAATGTTCAGTAACACAGTTCACGAATCATTCAGAACAGATTTCTCAATAACAAGTATTTTCAACCTATCTAGTGCTCGATAAATTAGTGTTTACGAACAAACCCACATCAAGACCAGTTATCAAATACCTACTTACTACTTTACGCCTATTAGAACATCTAGAAAAGTCCATATTTTTCTATCTGAAAAGTCCTCAATCTCTCAAATGAAATAAAGGGGCAGTAACAATACTTGGATAAGAATTGAAATACAGATATGAGGTACTGATAATAAGTTGTTCCTCACATTTTATATACAAGCATAAATGACATTTTAACATTCAGTAGATAACTGTAATCCAATCTAACCTTCTGTACTCCTGATTAGATAAACTAAGCTTTCATAATTTCAACTTACATCATTGACAAATTCCCAAATTCATTTATTTCTCTATACAAATGCAAACGGTTAACTTATTTCTGAGAGAAAGAGAGAGAGAGATTATATAACAGGTGGTGAAAATGAACTATATAAAAAGTTGTTATAACAGCTACCTGCTGGGAAAACATGTTACTTTTCTAAAGGAAATCTGAAAAACAGAAAACAGTGTTTAACTCAGATAAATTCTGGATAAAAAAATTATTTTATTACTGTTTTAGGACATCAATCAGATGTACTTATCACATGAGTTGTTAACAGTAATAAAAACTTCCATTTAAGTGTCACTAGATTTTCCTACACCTTCAATCAAAATTTCAAAGTTGAAGATAAAATATAAAAGGACAAACTAATGCCATGGCACAATACTACTGTTATTCTTTTTGGGTTCCAGTTGGAATGCTGAGACTCACCGGCACATCGTCAGTACATTCATTTCTCTGTAGTCGTCTTTCGTTGCCTGCATGATCATCCATAAGAAGTCATCTTCTCTTCACACTATCTCATCCTCGGACTCACACCAAACTTGAGGGCTTGGGGTGTAGTTCCACTCAGCGGTCCCCTCAGTGTGTACCCGATCCATTTCTATTTACTTCTGCACATTAGTTTAGCAGTAGGCTCTTAGTTAGTTCGCTTCCAGAGTTTTCTGTTACTTATCCTTTCTGACTGGCCATCTGATCTTCACTGTCGAGCCAGCGAAGGCAGCTGTTGCTGAAAGTCTGCAGTAGTCTGTCAGATATGCTTTTCGTGAAGTACGCATCAAGTCTCTATGTCTTATAGAAATACAGAATTGACACTAGTGTTGAAAATCTTAGTCTTCTGCTTAATGCTTAGTGTGGCAGATTTTACACTCATTTCAGAGCAATGAATGCCTGTCTTGCATAATATTAGGAGTTGTTAAACTACATAAAAATACCAATAATGAAAGTAGAAAGTAGTAAAGGTCTGATTCACATTACTTCACGAACAATTTTATGTTCTTACACAGAGTCTTGATACTATTTGACGCAAAATTGCTGACTGACGAGATAACAATCTGTTAAATAACGTTTTTCCATGTGAATACGCCACAAGTTTCTGGATAGTTTAGACAACCACCTAAAGTAAGACGTCTTAATAATCAGAAGATCTGAAGAACGTCACTTGTCTGGCTTCACACCATTGCTGTATCAAGAATCTTCCTCACCACTGACATATTTATGCATGCCTAAGTGTATATGTTCTGACATCTTCATCCAGGAAGAAATGTGTAAACTGGGAAATGGATGTTCGGAGAACTTTTTTAAAAGTGCATATCGATACCCAGAGATAGGGTAATGATGGATACTGTGCATAGGAAAATTTGGAATATTAAGTTAATTTACAAAGATGGGATTGCATCAGACATTCTAAAATATCGACTTAATAGATCAATTGAGAGTAGATTCCCTGAAGCTGTACTGGTATTCAGGTTTTTAGCTAAACTTGTACTAACACAGTGAGTAAAGGAAGGAATTACCAATGATGGTCTCGACAATATGCATCTTCGAATTCAACAGCTTCTGTGCAGTTAGTTACATAGGCTATACTCGGAGAACTTTATCCATGCGCGCGCGTGTACATGCACCTGTATGGTTGAGTAAAAGGGAAACCAAATGAGTAAATAGTGCTGTCTCAGGCCAGAGCAGGCGTTCTAAGTTATCTACCAGCTATCTTCCAGTACGCTATAAAGGGGAGCTCGAATACATCAGTAGTTGAAGCGGTAGCAACCAATACAAGAACATGTGGTCTCTGCATATAGAATAAGTATGTCCAACTGCTTATTTACCTTGACCTACAATCAGGTCAACAGGTCCTACATAATCACTGGCACTTTATATCCCTATCCATCTTTTCCTCTTCTTTTTACCTTTGTTTCACTAACAAAGTTTTATTTCAGGTCTTTTACGACTTCATAACCATTACTATTATGTATATTACCGTAGGTTTACGTAATACTAAATTCTTTACCACCTAATTATCATCCACTAGTGGTACTTTCATGTTTACACCACACCATTGTTATTATTTCATCATCATTAATTATTGTTATATGTCACCTGTGGACGACATCACTTAGAGAACCATCGGAAAACCACCAGAGTGGCTGTTTCGTCCAGGTTTGGGACTCTTCGTTAGAACGCACACACCAGGGTTTGAAGCCAGGACAATCCAGTTACAAGACCAGCTCGTAGATCATTCAACTGATGAGACCCGATCCAACATCCTTAGTGGTTTACAAGCTCGCCTTGGGTGTGTACCCATGAAGAGTCCCAAAGTGGGACGAAACAGTGTCAGGCACTCCTAGCTGGTTTCCAATGGTTTCTAACCAATGTCAGCTCATAATGAAATATTGTAACTCACTTCTATTTTATCATGTATTTATGCTACAATACATATTCTGATGTAATCCTACTTTGCCCCATACTTTCTATTGTATGCGAACATTAATGGATTTATAATTATAGAGCATGCAGAAGAATCTATTGAAAGCAATTGTTAACTCTAAACATTCTTTTTATGGATAAATTTAGTTTCAGTTGT